GGGGGGGGGAGGGGGGGGGGGGGGTCCAAAAATCGTATACTAGGAAATTACCGACCTGTATTCCATGAAAGTGAAATTCGATTCACGACAAATGCAAATGTTAGAATCATTGAGAATTCCCCCCCCCATAATTCAATTTAGAACATTTTACTATTAAACTAATATATTATTGCTCTTCGTCTCAATCTTAAGAATACGATTAGTTTAATCGGAATTAATCGGACTAATCCAAACATATTTGTAATTTGTCCAGTCTGTCTGTTTCCTGAGTTTGTTTTAGAATATGGTTTGGTTTGGTGTTGACCCTGCCCTAGGGATATGCCCCAGAGAATTAAATAAATCGATATTTCACCGCGGCATTCAAAAGCATCACCATACGGGCCCTGGACTCTCTGGACCACTTTTCAAAACTTTTTTTATCTTCAACATCTTAAATTTGTCATTGGAGAATAAAATTAGGCGAGCAAAATTTCAATTGTACGTTGTTTAGCAATATAATATTTTGTAAGAGAGTTCAGGGTTTAAAATGTTGATAAATGGATTGCGCATGCGCTATATCTCATTCTCATTCATAACGTAATATTTGTTGTTGTAAAAATCAAATTTGTCACATGAAAATAGAAATTAAAAATATAAATAACTGTATATTTATATAAATTTATATTATCTTTGTAGTTTTTTATTTAAAATGTTCACTCACATCACATGCAATCATTTTTTAAAAAATTCCAATTTTTTTATTCACAGAATTGCAGAATTAAGTTGAAAAGTTTAGGATTTGGGAATTAAATAATTAATGTGTTTTAATCAGCCAAGCATACTTGTAAAAGAATTATTTGGGTCTGGGGTCTGTCCTAGTATACGATTTTTGGACCCCCCCCAGGCCCCCCCCCCTCCTATCAATTTTGTACATGACCATTTATTTTTCAGCAAATTTATTACTATTTATTTTTTTGTTAATTAGGGTTAGGTTAGGTTAAGATACTTTCTGGGCCGAGCGCTGCGGCTAGGATGGGCTAGGGGGCCGAGCGCTGCGGCCACGGGTTAGGTTAAGTTAAGAAACTTCTTGTCAGACCCATGTACAAAATTGATAGGAGGGGGGGGGGGGGCAAAAATAAATTACCTGGGTCTGTCTTAGAGAACGATTTTTGAACCCCCCCCCCTCCCCCTCCTCCTATCAAGTTTGAACATGGATCTCACATGTTTCACATGGATACAATTGGGTCATTATTTTAAGGTTAGGTTAAGACAATTACTGGGCCGAGTGCTGCGGCTAGGGGGCCGAGCGGTGCAGCCAGGATAGCCGGCCGAGTGCCGTCGCCAGGACAGGCCGGGGGCCGGGTGCTGCGGACAGATGACCAATTATATCCGTGTGTTACATATGAGATCCATGTACAATATTGATTGGAGAGGTGGGGGTGTCCTTAAATCGTTCTCTAGGAAATTTTAGTATATTCTAGTTCATCTAATGGTTTCATAACGAAATAGTTATTTCATATTTATTGCAGAAGCCACGAATAAAATGTCTGAAGTTGGTGTAAGTAAACCTGGAGGCAGCAGGGCACCTGGCCTGCTTGGAACAGAGTTGACCGCTAAAGAGAAGGCGGCTGAACGAATGAAGAAACTCCGAGACTTACATTTAAAGAGAAATGAAGCTAGGTTGATTTAAGTTTTTGTTAAAGTTGTCAAATAATAGTAAATTTGATTTTATCTGTTTTTTATTTTAACTGAGGTTCAAAAATTGTTCTCTTGTTAACTACCTTTTGTGACTAACTCATTGATTTTCATACATTTTTGAAAAGTCCTTTGCCACTTCAAAAATCGGATTTAAACAGTAAGTGTAGTTTAAAATTCTTATGGTTTTCTGTTGTAGAAATGCGCAATTCACTACAAGAATCTTTAGGAAAGAAAGTTTAGAATTCAGAGGAATATGTTTGATATATAGATTAATGTTTACATTGAAGGAAGTTGATTCATCAAGAAAGGAAGTAGTTGAAGAGGATAGGCGGAACAAGGAACCTAAATTGGGAACTAGTTCATCTGTTATGAGCTATATTTCATATTATTTATATTGAAGGAAGTTGAATCATCAGGAAGTAGTTGAAGAGGATAGGCGGAACAAGGAACCTAAATTGGACACTAGTTCATCTGTTCTGTGTTTAATTTCATATTATTTATATTGAAGGAAGTTGAATCATCAGGAAGTAGTTGAAGAAGATAGGCGGAACAAGGAGCCTAAAAACGAGGAAGCCCGAAAAAGGCGAGCTGAGTATGTATTAAAGGTGAATCCACGTAATTTCTCTTTTTTAATTTTGATCTGACAACATGATGCCCAATCATATGCATATTTTCAAATTACATTAAGTTTGTCTATTTCTTCGAAAGGTTGCTTGCTGACATAGTTTTTTTTTAATAGATTTTAACATAAATTTCTGACAAAATTTAAAATTAACAAGCCTTAAAATATCTCTCGATAATTAGAAATTCAGAGATAACCTAATATGTTTCATTATAAATCCATGAATATCAAGGAATTGGAGGAATTTAGATATTAGCATTTCAAGCAAACAGATTGGATATACTAATTCTTACAAGTTTTAATTATTTTTTTGTGAAAAGTAATTCCTGTCGATTTTGCGAGAAAAAAACTTACTAACATCTTTTTCCCAGGAAGAGGAAGCTAAAGCCGCATGCCTAGCGGCTGGTAAGGATTGGGAGATTGAAAAACTCAGGTAAAATTTCTTCTTGAATATTTTTTTCCTGGTTTCTTTGAACTACACCAATTGTATTTGTGACAAATTTTTTCCAATTACGGTGCGGTATAAACCAAATATCTAAATAAAAAAGAAATACTATGATTTTATGTTTTCTATTGTAATTATGTAAATTGTATATCTTTTTTCAGGCATATCGGGGCAGAGGATGCAGATGCTCTGGATAAAAGGAACTAAAGCTCATATTTACAAATTAAAAATTAAATATCTCTACTTTTTATTTTTTATTTCAAGCTGAATCGGACTATTATTATTATTAAAAATCAACCTACAGACAAAGTACAACGACCTGTAGGTTGAAATACAATACAAAGATAGCAGAATTTTCTAAGAACATCATACAGTCAAAATAAAGTTTTAAAACAATTTTCTTTTCTTTAATTTTAAAATGAATTAGAATTTGAGCTTGATAATTTGTTTTAAAGGAAGCGAAGCAAACAAAATCCTGATGGAGGGTTCAGCACCTTTGAACAAGCAACATTTAGGTGAATTTCATTTCAAGAAAACTTAAAATTTTGCGAGAAAAGAATTTAAACATTAAAAATTAGAAGAAAAAAATATATACCCTTTGAGTCTAAAATATTGGTAAGGATTTATTTAATTTTGATCCGGATCTGGATTAAGGTCCTGGATCCGCCATGGCAAAAAATTGTATTATATAAAACAGTATTATATAAAACAGTATTATATAAAACAGTATTATATAAAATAGTATTATATAAAACAGTATTATATAAAACAGTATTATATAAAACAGTATTATATAAAACAGTATTATATAAAACAGTATGAGACATTAGGAAGTTTTTATTCATCTCTTATTAATTAAGTGTGAAAAATTGGAATACTAAAATACTATCAAAATAATTTTGTACAATTTTGTAATTATTTTTTTTTTTAAAATTCTTATACATTTTTTTTTGTTTTTTATTTTTAAAACACATATTAGTCAAAAAATGTAATTCGTTTTGAGAGCAAAATCGTTGGTTTTGGTTGATATTTTGCCCCTTGGATCCGGATCCGGGAATCCGTATTCTTGTGCGTATCCAGGACGCCAAAAAGTTGCGGATCCAGATGTTAAGTAAAAGTTTTAAATTTTTTTTAAAGATATCTTTGTTTTTAGAAAGTATTCAGGCCTTTTAAAGCAGATCAAACCTGACATGGTAGAATATAACGAAAAGAAGGAAAAGGTGATTAATTTTTAATAATTCGAAAAAGTGATTTTTAGAAAATTATGTTTTGATTGCTACTATTTGAACGGACAGCCGGGTATCGATCCACATCGCAATGCCTGAACGCTCTGCCGAAAACAAACGGGTTTACTCCTGGCAGAAACATTGAATAACTATTACCTAAACAGAATTGTCCAAAACACTACTACACATTAATTTTAAAATTCGTTGATGGTGATTGGTGATGGACCAAACCTCTATGCTTATACTATATACCACTTGTACTCTTTCCTAGTACATAATTCAGATCTTTTATTTTATAATTTTAGGCTGGAGAGGCTTTCTACGCCACAGCTGGAACTATTGTACACGGTGTACATAAAGATTCTAAAGACGCAATTTCGGTAAAAATACTTAAAGGATTTGCTATAATAATTTGTAAAATTATTTGTTTAAAGAATTAAAATTTAACTTCTAATTTTTCGAGAAAATGTACAACCCAGAAATAACATTATGATTTCGCAGATTTTTAAGTTTTCATATTGGTGGATTTCTAAAAAAAAATAAAAATAGTATTTTTTTAGGCAAATATTTTTAATTCTGACCATTATTGTTGACTTCATTCCCATGTTTTGTGGAATCATTTCGATAGTAGTAAGGTACAATGTACATTTCGATAGTAGTAAGGTACAATGTACATTTCTTAGAAATTTTAAACACTCACTAAATTATTTCCTAGGTTCTACGGAGAATATACTAAAGACATAAAGGACAATTTGGAGAGAGGAACCGCAGTCTGATTGTTTGATCAATTTCTTGATCGATCCATAAGTAATTCATCAATTCATGCAGCAGACTTATACAGCTATTCGATTTAGCTGAACCACATTCAATATATGTTATTGTAAAATACTGAAGAAAAAAAACATTTTTTTTGTGATAAATGTTAAATTTTAGATTGTAGCTAAACGCTCGACTATCTATTGTGTACCGTCGTTAAGTAAATAAAATTTCATATTTTGATTTCATTTTAATGTTTAGTTTTAATGGAAAATGTTTTCAGATTAAACAAATCAAAATGGCTTCCAGCCCCTCCAGTAAATCTAGGTCTAGATATAGGTAGGTTAAGGTTAATGGTTGAATCAAAGCTTCACCCCTTTTTTTATCCAGGGGGCAGTAGGGCCTTAGCCCCCCCCCCCACCCCACTCCGGGGTACTTAAAAATGCCAAGAAAGGTTTATTTTTCTTTGAGTGTTTCCCTTTATTATTTTTGTCAATTTCACGATTCTTGGTATAGAAGGTTTCCATTCTGTTCTGCATGAGGAAATTTTTAATCCGTCAAAACCGGTTTCTTCTGAAGATTCGCGGATTTATATAAATATTCTCTGCACATCTATCTTATATATAAAGTTATAATCTTTGTTTGTCTGTTTGTTTATCCGATCATAACTCGGGAACCCCTGGACTGATTTGCCTCAAGTTTTGATTGGGCAACTTTGGAGACGTTTAGTTTGGTTTTAAGAGTTTAAGTTTAGAATGAGTGGGTCGATTTTAATAGAAAAATTGTATTCCCGTGTTAAATTGTTTAAGTGCGGGTAATCGGCGGTAGTAACTATGAGGAAGCTGGGCAGCGCTGGGTTCCCAAGCTAGTATGTTGTAGAGTAATTGTATTCAAACATATTTAATTAAAAATTGACTACAACAGGCGTATCCAAGAATCTTAGTTTCTCATTCCTTGATTTATTTTAACTGAACTAATTTTCTATATTCAAGCAACCCCTCCCTCAGTAAACCCAAGAAAAATATTGCACTGACAGTGAATATATCACATATATCAAATATGTTGTAATTCATCTTATAATGTTGTATGTAAAATGTCTTGTCAATGAATTTAAAATGTCCTTTATAAGACTTGCCTTACCTATGAAATATATGTCTAAGAAAGATCCTTCTGTAAAAATGTTAATTGTGCATTATTAAATGTCCCAACTTCTTTAAGAATGTTAATTTTGCATCTATTAAATGTCCCAATTCCTATAAAAATGTTATTTGTTCATCTTTGAAATGTCCCAACTTCTATAAAAATGTTAATTTTGCAACTGTAAAATATCTAAATTCCCATAAAAATCTTAATTGTGATTCTATTAAACGTCCCAACTTCTATAAAAATGTTAATTTTGCAACTTTAAAATATCCCAACTCCTAAAAAATGTTAATTGTGTGCATCAATTGAAATGTCCCAACTTCTTTAAGAATGTTAATTTTGCATCTATTAAATGTCCCAATTCATATAAAAATGTTATTTGTTCATCTTTGAAATGTCCCAACTTCTATAAAAATGTTAACTTTGCAACTGTAAAATGTCTCAATTCCTATAAAAATGTTAATTGTAATTCTATTAAATATCCCAACTCCTATAAAACTGTTAATTGTGCATTTATGAAATGTCCCAACTCCTATAAAAATGTTAATTGTGCATTTATGAAACATCCCAACTCTTATAAAACTGTTGATAGTGCATTTATGAAACATCCCAACTCCTATAAAACTGTTGATAGTGCATTTATGAAACATCCCAACTCCTATAAAACTGTTAATAGTGCATTTATGAAATATCCCAACTCCTATAAAACTGTTAATTGTGCATTTATGAAATATCCCAACTCCTATAAAACTGTTAATAGTGCATTTATGAAATATCCCAACTCCTATAAAACATTAATAACTTGCTTCTTTAAAATTTCCCAACAATTACAGGGTTTCCCAACAATTACAGGGTTTCCCACTAAGAATCTTTAAAATTTACGATCTGAATGTTAGACTTACTCTTCTGCCTTCAACATAGCTTTCTTTTAATGGTGTTTCAGAGAGTTTGGTAAAATAAGCTTGTGTTTAAATGCAGGGAAGCATGAATGTAAGAAAAGGACTCAATGAATTATGTACACCCTTTGTCTTATAAATATATATATATTAAGGTACCGAACCAGATCAAGGTCCTACTCCCCCCTCTACAAGGAACGAAGGTCCAAATCCCCGATGTCCAAAAGGTGGGATTTTTTTTATCAGAAAGGGATAGTTCCCTTTTCATTGGTGAACGATTTTAATTTTCTAACGAGATTGTCGTGTTTTTTTGAGTGACCCATCATCTCAAGAGGTACATTTTCATTGCTTGCTCAATCAATATCTGATCAATAATGTGGAAGATATCATCGTTTACTAGTTTAAACAGTTCTCACAATTTCCTCCATTGTGCCGGTAGCATAAATCTGCAAGTCACACCAAGAAAGACCGCAATGGAAAATAAACATTTTTAAAGAAATAAAAATGGAAATTTCATACATTCTTGAAGTGCTGCTACTGTCCCCTGTTGCATAGTGAAATTTGTGAGCAGCTAATTTTTACTGTTCAGGATGCTGCATATTGGAACAAAGGAGCACCTTATATTTACTGTTTAGGTAGCGGCATTTTGGAACCAGGGAGCAGTTAATATCTACTTTTCAGTAAGCAGTATATTGGAACCAGAGAGCAGCTAATATCTACTGTTTATAAAGCGGCATATTGGAACCAAGGAGCAGCTAATATCTACTGTTTATGAAGTGGCATATTGGAACCAGAGAGCAGCTAATATCTACTGTTTAGGAAGATATTGGAACTAAGGAGCTATCTGATATTTACTGTTCAGGATGCTGCATATTGGAACAAAGGAGTAGCTAATATTTACTGTTTAGGAATCCGTATATTGGAACCAGCAAGCAGCTAATATCAACTGTTCAGTAAGCAGTTTATTGGAACCAGGGAGGAGCTAATATCTACTGTTTAGAAGCAGCTAATATTTACAGTCTAGGAAATGACATTTTGGAACCAGGGAGCAGCTAATATTTACTGTTTAGGAAGCGGCATATTGGAACCAGGGAGCAGCTAATATTTACTGTTAAGGAAGCGGCATATTTGAACTAAGGAGCAGCTGATAATAACTTTTCAGGATGCTGGATTTTGGAACCAGGGAGCAGCTAATATCTACTGTTTATGAAGCGGCATATTGGAACCAGGGAGCTGCTAATATCTACTGGTTAGGAAGCGGCATATTGGAAGCATGGAGCAGCTAATATCTACTGTTTAGGAAGCGGCATATTGGATCCAGAGAGCAGCTAATATCTACTGTTTAGGAAGCGGCATATTGGAACCAGGGAACAGCCCGGGAAAGCCAAGTGTCTGGGTGTATTCGGATTAAGTCTGTATACGACTGCAGAGGAACTTGAGGCAGTAAGTAAGAAAATCATTCAAAATCAAAATTAATGGGGTTTTTTCTTTCTGAACTCTAGCCAAAAAAAAAATAAATTTTGTATTTAGGGAGCATTCAGATTCATTTTTATGTCTTACTGACTAAATTATATTACTGACAAACACAAAAATACTCTTAAGAATAGGGCAAAAACATTTTTATAAAACCGAACAAACAATCGAGGGAAAGTGACAGGTTTTAAAAGTCAGAAACTAGTGCGGCCCATATTGTAAAATGTTTGGACAAAAAATGCGAGTTATTTAGATTTTAACATTTACACTTTTACATGATCGTCTGATAAATTTGTTAAATTTGTTAAAAAAAAATTCAGGAATTTGGAAAGTTTGGTAAACTAGAAAACTGTCGGATAGTTGTGGACAAGAAGACCCAAACTACCAGGTAAAGATTGTGGGAGAGGAGCGTCGATCACTACTTAATCAAACGACGGGTTGTCCTATAGTAATATTGATAGTATTGTCTGTGTTTCAGGGGGTTTGCTTTTGTAACCTTTGAGAGGCTTGAGGATGCTATTGCTGCAAAGAAAGCTATGCATGATTCAGGTAAGTTTTTAATTAAACCAGAGAGACAGAAGTTTTTAGATGTGGATTATGTTTCACAAATTTGACTGGTTTAAATTAAGTTAAATGAGGTTTTAAAGTTATAAATTTAAATTTGCAACCTCACATGATCACTTAGATTCAATATACACTGTGGGCACTAATGATTTTCTGCTTTATTTTCTCTTTTTGTATATCCCCTCTGGGTTCTCTTATTGGTTGCGTATAATATTTCCTGGCTTCTGATTTGGTGTTCGGTTTCTGCAAACAAGACTCTGATTGATTGAATTTTAGACATTTTTTATTAATTTAAAATAAAGATTGAATTAATATGCAGATTAACAAAAAGAGGAGATCAAGCATTGATCTCAATCTCCATTCTCCACAATACAAAAGTTTCCAGCTCAGTTTGGATTTAGCTTTAATAACAGTTTTGTTGGTTTTGATTTATTTTATTTTTATCTAATCCCTCGCACACTTTCAGACTGTTAATAATAGAATTAAAAGATGTATTCAGTTGATTTGATTGATTGATTGATTGATTGATTATTTGTCTTAGAAGTAGACGGAAAGCGGATACGTGTTGATTATTCCATTACAAAACGTGCGCACACCCCAACCCCAGGAGTATATGTAGGCAGACCGGCAGCTGCTTATCAGAGAAGAGATGGGGAGTACAGGTAAACACCCTCTAGTTAAAGATTGTGCCAATGTCATGCACAACGATTCTAAAATGTAGATGTCTAGGCCCGCTAGGGCTACTAAAAATAAACTAAAGTGGGTTTGTCTAAATCTATGTGGATCCTTTAACCTGAACGAATTAACAATGGAAGGAAATTAATTTTATTATCTGCAACTGTAAGCGTAGCAAAGAATGCTCGATTTACAATGGTACCTTTAAAGCTTTGTCTGATTATGAATGAGTTAGATAGCAATATTTTTGTTTCTTTCATTTGAAGATTCTCTGCAAAATTGACCTGCGCGCATTTCTTAATAATAAGACAAAATGACAAAAATAAACAATGTTATCTTTGACATGTACTGTACTGCCTTGTTTGTTAAATATGTTTGTACAGCTAAGAATTAGCCCTTTCATGGCTGGGGGGCCGGGGGGGATGTTTTCCACCAACCCCCCTGTATTTTTTTTCGAAATAACGTAAAAACGGCTTACATTAAAACCAGGGGCGGATACAGGGGGGGGGGCGTAGCCCCCCCTGAGATTTCAGAACAGCTTCTCTATAGCACTTTAGGGAAAGAAAACCTAGTGCAAAACTATAAAAATATCTATCTTAGAATAAATTTTCGCCTGGACACGCCTTTTTGTTCCTAAATCTGGATTATTTTGTTCCGAAATAAATCTTGCACACCCCTCACTTAAATCCTGTATCCGCATCTCATTAGAATGCTATAAAAACTTATTCGTTTTTCAACTTCATAGTTGTGAACAAATTTGGCTAAAAAAAATGTTATGCATATGGTATGGTGGCGGGTCGGTGTTTCTAAAAATCAGAAATGGTTATAATTTAAAATTAATTAAGCTTAAAATTCATATATTTGAATAGCCCATGAATAATGGACGTATCAACAATAACATGCATCAAAGTATTAATATTTAGCAAAAGTTTTAAAAAAAAATTTTAGACTTTTGTACTTTTTTTAAATTCTCTCTTGCACCCTTACTATTGAAGATAGGGGTATAATTTTTTTTAATGCAGGCCTTGAAAAGTTGGATTAGGGACATGTATCGCACTCCCCTATCTCAACTCCATATGCCCCCCCGGCCCCCCCCCCCCCCCCCCAATCTATATTAGACAAAAATAGCGCCAATCTAGGATTAAGAAACATTTGCTTGGCAACTACGGTTTTTCCAAGTTCAACTTAGAATTTTTAAACCAAGCTAAGAACATTTCCGTGGTTCTACATATACTAGCTTGTAAACTTAAAAAATTAATAAGCCAAACTTGAATTTTTAGGCCAAGCTAAGAACATTAATGTGGTTCCACCGAGTTCCCCAATCATAATTTGAGTTAAGGTTAATTGGTTTAGCGTCTATCCATGAGTTATGATACGACATACAAACACACATACAGAGATTACTAATTATATCAAGATGGATACCGTTTTAGATCATAAACCGTTGATAAATTGATTCACATGTTTTTTTCCTTTTATTTTGAAATTATATGGCATTGGCGTATGTTGTGGCCCAATCTGGTGAGGCTTTAAGAGCAGGAGGGCCATTTATTGGTTGTTTGATTGATTGATTGATTGTCATGTTTTACTTTAGATACCGTAGATCCATCAGTCCTATAGCTGGTCCTAGATACAGGTCTCCTAGTCATAGTCCTTCAGATCATCGTACTAGACGCAGAAGATCAAGATTAAGAAGATCAAGGTCTAGAAGCTTCAGAAGATCAAGGCCTGGAAGTAACGGAAGATCAAGATCAAGATCAAGTAGACATTATAGATCAGAATCAAAAAGACACAACAGATCACCAGATTTAGGATATAGAAGATCAAGATCAAGAGAGAAAAATCGATCCTTTGGATCCAGAGCAGATATAATATCAACTGTAAGGTCAAGATCAAGATCTAGAGGATATTCTAAATCAAGTTCGAGGATGGAAGTGGGCAGCTAGGACATGGTTTCTGGCCTTCAGTTGAACACAATGTACCTATATTTGATCAAGAAATTATAAAATTATTTCGTTTGTCACTTTCGTGAAAATTATAAACCATGAACCCCTCTAATACACCCCATGGGAGGGAGGGTGGGGGTAGCTCCATCGCGGCCCCATTTGTCCAATGGATGAGCTTTGAATTTAATCTAACATATGTACTCTTGTTTTTAAAAAATGGCTTTTTCAAGCCCCTTTGAGGCCGGGAGAGGGGTCAAAAAAATGTCCTGGGGGTAGTACTCAGATTAAAAAATTCACTTACTAAATTCTAGAATTTATAAAAAAAAATTGAATTTCGCAAACTAGAAAAACAGATTCTCAGTGCTTTTAATATCATTACTTAATTAGTACATATTGCAATCCAGTGTTGTTTTTAATATTTGCACATGTCAAACGTTATTTTTATATTTACTGTTGTTTTCTTAATCTTTGATGTTAAAATAATGAATGATAGACGAAAATTAGAATAACATTTGAAAATAAGTTTATTTAATGAAAAGAACGATAATTTTAGTCTATGTAAATAGAGGGGATGGATAAACAACTTTAGAACCATAAAACTTATATTGCATATCATCCTTTCACTAGGTACAATTTTCAAAGATCGAATATACAGTAGTCTTCGTAAATATCAATACAATGAAAACGACTTTTGATTTTGATTTTTGATTTCTTCTAAGCTTTGAAACAACATAGACACACATGAACTTGAAAAATTCTTGGTAGATAACAAAACTTAAATAGAAACGTCGTTTTATTTGTATGGATATAAACGCCGACCACTGTACAAAGGAATATACCCTGAGATCAAAAACGTTACGTGAAATATCGACAATTTACAAATCTTGATCTCAATATCCAATTTTACAGTTCACATTTTACTATGTACTCCACTTTCAGAGATTTATCAGGATGTTTCAATATTTGGAGGATTTTTAAACATTAATCTAATCTTTTTTTTAATTAAAGGAAGATAAATTTACAATAACTTAACACAGTGGTTTCTTCTTAAAGGGACTGTAAAGTAAAAATGAAAGGGGGTATAGGCTTAAAGCTAATCACTTTAGCTCTCGATCGCGACCCATGAAAGTTATATCTGATGTTCCTATCTCGAGAAATTGATTTACAACTGTGTCAAATTTATACGAAAATTAATATATATACAATTTTGCAAAAAAGTAGTGGGTTTAAAAAGATCAAATTCAGCAAATATGCAACCAATCTGAAAACGATGATATCCCAGAGAAAGCTAATTGTAACTTAGGTTTACTCCAATTCTAATTTTATATTTGTTATTTCTATATATACGTCCGTATTGCTTGACCAGAAATTCCACCAATGGCAGTGCATTAAAGTGGTCACGTGATACAGGCGGAGACACGTGACCAGTATACTGCTCTGCCATTGGTGATAGTTCTGGTCACGTGATTTAAGTTAAAGATTTTTTAAATTTTACATATATGAACTTTCGTATAATTTTATATCAATTTCTCGAGATAGGAACATCAGATAAAACTTTCATGGGTCACGATCAAGAGCTAAAGTGATTAGCTTTCAGCCTATAACCCCTTTCATTTTTCCTTTACAGCCCCTTTAATTCACAATTATTTTCCAGAACTAAAGGACATGTACTGGGTGAACGCTAGACTTTTTTTAAATCGTTTTTTTAAATTTTTTTATTTTTTCGTTCGTGCACAATTTTGTTGGGTTAACAGCTAAGTAAAATCAAAATTTTTCGAACTTCTAATTACGCCTTTACACTAAAGTACATCAATAAGGCATAAGTTAAAGGGTTTTTAAGCAGACTGGTAAAATCGTTGTGGAGAGGATGAAGAATGGTTTATAGAGAAGTGTGGAAAGAATAAAGGACTCTTCGAGTGAGGAAAATGAAAATATCTTTCACATTTTTTATCATCTTAAGGTTTTAAGGCCCATAAGCCGCAAGGGTACTAGGTTGCAAATCGGGCATTGTCATCTTTGCATGGAGGGTCATTTGAAATTACACTTAGTTTCTTCACAGGGAGTGCACCCGGGATCCCTGAGAGTGTATATCCGAGATCCTTAAAGAAAGTGTACCCGGGATCCTTAAAGGGAGTGTAAACGGGATTCTTAAAGGGTACACTACCCGGGATCCCTGAGAGTGTGTATCCGAGATCCTTCAAGAAAGTGTACCCGGGATCCTTAAAGGGAGTGTAAACGGGATCCTTAAAGGAAATTTTCCTGGGATCCTTAAAGGTAGTGTACCCTGGATCCCTAAAGGGAGTGTACCCGGGATTCTTTAACAGAGTGTACCTGGGGTCCTTAAAGGGAGTGTACCCGGGTTCCCTAAAGAGAGTGTACCCAGGATCCCTAAAGAGAGTGTACCCGGGATAATTCATACCTAATTTTATAACCCAATACATCGTTCATTATTTACAAAGTGGTTCGTTAATGAGAAATTCTGTTGATGTTGATATATCTAGATGATAAATTATTATCGCTTCTCTGCCATTATAATGCTGAGATTAAAGTGTATTTATTCGTAGATATCAACCCTACAATTAAAGCTTAGAGGTAGAAAGTAGGATCGACCTGGGCGAAAACCTACAGGGTGTCCCAATAAACATGGGAATTCAGTGACGAAATCGATAATTCTTTGATTTAGTATATTGATACCTATGAGAAAGCTGTAATCTGTTAGAGTTTTGTCTGTTATGTTCTGTAATGGAGTTCAAAGTACGTATTTTTAACAAAGAATGTTAGAACATGGTTGAAATCAATTATCTCTGTATATGCGAACTTTGTTGGGTGTTTACAGAAACTAAAACTTCTTTTTTGTAAAAATCACAAACGATTGTAAAAGATTCTTTAAGAATTGATATTAGTGCGTTTATGAACAGTTAAAATGTATTTATATGTTTGTATTTTTTGTGAACATCCTGTGAACACTGTGCATATTTTTTACGTATAGGCGAAAGGTTAAGACTACGCCTTAAAATCTAACTTTGAAATCTTGAAAAGCTGATATGGGCAGTTGTAGCCAACCCTTGCGCAGCTCTGGAGTTCCAAACCAACTCTGTACCACCAAAAAAAGGATTTTATTGATATTCTAAAACCAAAATAGAAACATCATTTTCGGACCAAGTCCTGAACGAGAAAGCTCCAGGATCTAAGATTCATCTACACCAGCTTCAAGCAGATCCCTACAGAAGCAGCCTTTAACGGTTCTGCTCCAGACAGCTCTGTGTTCTAAAGATTCACCAATACCAGCAGTTGAGCAGCTCCCCAAATCCCCCTACAGCAATTAACTCCACAGTTTCATAACGCTCCCACATATTCCATAATAAGTTTAAATAAATATTTCAAACCCCACCACGAATCATTTAATTAGACCTAAGGTCTAATAGTTCACATTTTGTTTGTTTATGTAAGACAAGAAAATTACAATATACAAATAGAGTAAACTTGTCCTTCTTCACTGTTCATCTTGCGGAGACATTATAGACACATCTTTACAGTCTTTTACCCTTTTCATAAAATAAACTTTAGCAGACATAATAATATTATGGCTTATGAAATTAGGTATTACAATGCTAGTTCATAACAAAGACGATATCCAAATCCTCTCTGAATTCCCATGTTTTTTGGGACACTCTGTAGATGGAGTTAGCTATGACCAAGGGTCGGAAAACGGAAGATCAACGGAAGTATAAGGCAAAGGAAAGACGGAGAGTCTGCCAGAGAGCTCTGGCTTTCCATGATTCATTAGTATCATTTTATTTGTTAATTTTTTACTTGTAAATGCATTTTTTCCTACACTCTGTAGTCTTACTCACATCAGTTTTCAGGCCTTAGATTTCCTTTATTTCTACATTAGTGGCGGTTTCTTTTATATTAGCAAGGTCTTCCTATACATTAGTGGTGGTTTCTTTTATATTAGCAAGGTCTTCCTATACATTAGTGGTGGTTTCTTTTATATTAGCAAGGTCTTCCTATACATTAGTAGTGGTTTCTTTTATATTAGCAAGGTCTTCCTATTCATTAGTGGTGGTTTCTTTTATATTACCAAGGTCTTCCTATACATTAGTGGCGGTTTCTTTTATATTAGCAACGTCTGAACTAATATAATTAAGTTAAGTGACTGCACTAGAGAGAAGTAGGTCGGTGATAGCTTCGTTTAACCTTATATCAACAATATCCTCTTTGTTTCGATGAATGTCTTTACTATTTTGCTGGACATCATCTTCAATACTTCTAGGGTTCTCCAAGATAAACAGTCTTTTCTTCAGGTCTTCAATTAGCTCTAAGAGTGTTTTGACAACTTCAACCTCTCCTCTAGGAGGGGAGGAAGGCGAGCCACAACAATTTCTCGTCCGAGCCACATTCTCCTCATTTTCTCGTCTGAGTCACCTCGGAATCCTCGTCCTTCGATTATTTTGTGTTAAAAGTTTCCAATTCTTGAAGAGAAAACTATTTTTTTTTAAATCTGGCCATGTTAGGGCATAAAATATGGATGGACTGAAGTATTGCAATGATTATATCATGTTTGAATCTTCCAACCCATGGGAATGATGTCAAACTTTATTTAGGTAAAACTTAAATCTCTTCTGCCTCCGTAATGGCTAACCTTAGTGATATAAAATAATTAGCAAAATATTCGGCATACTTCTGCCTATAATTTTCCCCATGGAACCACCCTGAAAAAGTCTATGGTGTTAACTATAGTTAACAAAAAAGATTAAATTTCTATAAACTTGGAATTATTTGCGGCATTCTACACAAGGAATATCTGAAAATGCGCGTAAAAAAGGTAAACATTTTTAAAGACATTAAACTTTAAATCTTTAATTGAAACTTTTTTTTGATTTACAAAAATTTGATATTTCATTTATGCCCTAACGTGGCTTGATTCTTAAAAAATAGTTTTATCTGGAAGGATTAGACACTTTAAAAAAATAATATTGAAAGGACGAGGATTTCGAGGTGGCTCGGACGAGAAATTGAGGAGAATATTGCTCGGACGAGAAATTGTTGTGGTTGGCCTTCCTCCCCTCCCTCTAGACCTTGTTCAGGTTCTCCTTTATGCTCTAAAGGACTAAAAATATATAATTTCACAAGAGAGAAAACGATAATTTATGTTTAATGCAAGAAAATGCAAAGACGTTATATTGATTTCACTATAGGGTTTTACTATCCTGTAAATAATTTTTGATTTTATTAATGTTCCATAAACCTTCCTTGGGGTCATATGAGGTCCCAGACAAAATTTTTGGCCCGATCGGTTCAGCCGTGTTAAGTTTTTGGACACAAGAGGACAGCCACCCAAACAGACAGACAGACAATGTATATTTATAGAATTAAATTCGAGTGATTTTTCAATTAAAGTAAAATTGAGAAATAAAAAGACGATTTTTTTAAATTCTGTCGATTATCTTTTCTTTTTTGCAGTAATCAGATGTCAACTTTTATCATAAAAAATCACAATTTAAACAACTTTTACGTTTTATTCACAATTTATAATCATTACTTTTTAGATAAAGGTTGTAAAACATTTAACTCTTTAATTAAAGTGGGTCATTTGAATTATTGTCAACAGTTCCTTTAAGCATTACTTTAGATCGTTTTTAAACAAATCCCAACCCTACTCTCTAGCACTAGAATTATATCATTTTCTTCTCAATATATTTCGCCAAAAACTTTGGCATCATCAGGAGTTAGTCCTATAATATAACAGATATAAGCAAATAATAAAAATAAAAAATACAAACACAGCAACTATAATAAATACAGAAGAGAACAAAAATAAAAATCTTTTTTATGTAAAATGGAATTTTTCAAAATGAATATTGTCAGAACACATAAAACTTAAAAGAAAAATTAGAAAACCGTACCTTACTCTTTTGAACAGTATTGAATGACTGGGAAAGGATTGACTAGTTTATGGGCGTATGCAGTGGGGGAAGGGGGGGGGAGTGTTGAAGGGGTTAGAATTCGTCGACAAAACGGTCAAATACATGAATTCGATAGGGTAGATTTTCTTCATTACTGGATCTTCTATTAGAGTCTTCCAGGATGATCTTAGAGTTTCAGAGAACCTAGGCAGTTAAATAATGTTGACACTGAAAAAATCGAAACATGTTTTTTTTAAGTATTTTCATATTAAATTGTATTGATTAAATCAACATTGTTCAATGCTTTTTTTAAATGTTGATATTTTAACATTTTATTGAAATAGTTTGATTAATTTTATCCCTGATTTGACTAAATTTGACCCCGGTACCCATAGCACATAACTAAGAATTGATAATACACTGGATTTCCTTGTATATCTGGAACGCAAAACCCGAAGTATTTTACAGAATCAGGATGGAGTTTTACATGAAAGTACATATTTTCAAGATCGAATGACGTTATAAAATCATCTTTTAACAACAGGGTTTTAAGGCTTTTTCTAATCAACAATTTTAGCTTTAAACTATGAAAATATGAACTATGAAAATTTCCCTGCAGTTTAAAATGGCGAATTGTTAAAAATGATAAATTTTTCCGGACAAAATATTTAAACTTCAACCAGCCATTACCCTTCCGTGGGGTCATGTGAGTTGCCTCAAAAATGTTGTGTTCGATCAGTATCTATTTATGTTATAGCATATATTATTTTTGAAATGGAACAGAATCAATAATTATGAGAAGTATTATTCAGATGTAACTTTGTCAGTTATTCAATTGATAATGTGATACAAATTAAAATGAAGACGTAGAGTGTCTGAATATATTGAACATTTTCCTAATAATCCCAAATTCATCAAAATAAAATGTTTACTTTTTTGGTTTCCCTCGAATACATCTTGTGGGTGAAATGTTGGGTGAGGAGGGGAGGGAGTGATATCTATGAGGACACACCCACTGATTTATAACTTCTTATTTCAACTTCAATTTTTTTATTGTTTTTCACTTTCTAAGCTGTAAAAATGGGTATTACAATTTTGAAGAGTACTAAAACATTTTTCACAAATTAAAAAATTTCTTTTTAGCTTTAAAGTTCCACCCCCCCCCCCATTTCAAACTTTTGGAAACTTTAAAGCCCGGCCCACAAATACTAGAAATGAACAAGGCCAACTGTTGTTCAAGGAATGGGTGTAAACGGAAGTATTATCATTCCTTAGATCTGATCAGATATCAAGGAAGTGCGCTCTTCCTCCCATTCTTTTTATGCACGCACATCTAATCATTTATCAATAGATCATTTATCCTTAGATTTTCAATTGACTTAACACTAATATAAATTATCGATATATTGACAAAAATCTTAAACAAGTACATTATTATGGCATGAGGTGATAGGAAAAATAAACAAGGAAATTACATTGAAATTTATCCTTTAGTAAAGATATATTTGACTTTTAATACTATTAACTACAATGCCTTTTTTTTACTCAATAGTCTTTTAGTTGGTACACCACCCTGCGTAGACCAAAGTTTATGATAAGTTCCTTTCTTCTGTAGAAGGTCGTCATGTGACCCATATTCAACAACACGCCCATGATTCACTACAAATATTGTATCACAGTTTTTCACAGTTGATAAACGATGGGCTATGGTTATTGAGGTTCTGCCTTTTTGTGCACTGTCCAGGGCAGTTTGTACTGTTTTCTCAGACTCAGTGTCAAGAGCAGATGTTGCTTCATCGAGAAGTATAATTGGAGGATTCCGCACAAGGGCTCTGAAAAATTATAATTTTAGTTAAAGAGGGTTAATAACCTTTCAGATATTCTAATTGCTTATAAGTTGTTTCAGAGTACTGAATAATTCTAATGATGATGTTTATACTCTTTTCTCTCTCTTATTCCAACTTAACAATAATCCGCATATTCTCTCCAAAATGTCGTCTTCTCTCCTTATTAACTTTTATCCACTAAATTACTTATTCTCCATTGTTTTTTATACACGTATTTTATCATATCTGTATCTTTGCTCTGAACTTCTATATTTTGCTTATTCTCTTTCCACTACAGTGGTCCCCATAAAACATCTATTCATTACTCAATCTTCCCAATTATTCCAACTCCCAATTTACCAACCCTTTATATCATCCTAACATTCATTGAATCCCAACCCCAACTTCCTCTTTAGCTGATATCCATTCCAATTCCCAACCTATTTTATCTATTCCCAATTGGTCCCTTTCCAACCTATTCCAACTTCCTAGTCCTCATCCTAATCCCAATTCTTCCAATCCCAACAAATTGGTTAACATTCATTTGGGATTCTTATAGTTTGGGTTTTCTCTTAAAAAATCAGAAAGAAATGTTTTACATTATTGCCGACTTTTTTACATGACAAATGACAATTATGATTTACTGATATATTGTTGTTTCATGAACGCTTTTTAGAACACTTTTGTGTGCAACAGTTGTATCTAGTGCTTGGAATTCTATCTTTTCTCTACCTACGTGGTTTTATATGTTTGGCTTGGTTGGGGGTGGTTATATCCCAAAACAAGAAATATCAATTTATCATTCAATTTAAATCTATAATGTACGTTTATTTTGTAAATTGTTATTTGCTATTTTTACCCTGGAATCGAACCAGGATTTTAGTTAGATTAGTGTAAAAGTAACATAAAAAATTAAGTTAGATATCCTAAGATTTTGAGACCGGCCCTCTTGTTGCCAGCGAGTTGTTAAATGAACTAATAACCAGAAACCAATAAATAACATTGCATCATATCTCAGTATATTAAACAGCAACAAAGAGAGGAGAGATTCAAGCTACCCCCAACCCAATTAATCAATCGTTTTCCCGTAAAAAAGTATTATACGGTTTTCAAACATACCTTGCTATGGCTATTCTTTGCTTTTGACCTCCAGACAACTGTGTTCCCTTCTCTCCCACATTGGTTTCATACCCTTGGGGTAAGTTTGTAATGAATTGGTGAATGTTGGCTTTACGTGCTGCTGCAATAACTTCTTCCATTGTTACATCTTTAGTATTGTCCCCATAGGAAATATTCTCAGCAAGGGTTCGATTGAACAAAACAGGTTCTTGGGACACAATGCTCAGTTTTGATCTCACCCAGGGAACATTGAGTGCATTTATATCATGGTTCTCTAGGGTAATATCACCATCATTCAGATCATAAAACCGTTGAAGGAGCTGTATGCATGTTGATTTGCCACATCCAGATGGTCCAACAAGGGCTACCGATTTTCCTGTACTGATCGCCAGATTCAAGTTCTTTAAGACACGAACTTGACTTCTATTAGGATAGTGAAATACAGCATTCCTGAATTCTATCTCTCCCTCTACTTTGTTCAATCTCAGTCCAGATCCTGCTGCTGAATCAATCAGAGGTTTTCTATCTATGAGATTAAACACTCGGGCTGCAGCAATCATTGCTTTTGTGTAGTTTGGAGCAAACGCAGATGCCTGTCCCACCATCATTGTACCAAGGATAAGCGCCTCTGCCACTTTAAAAACTAATTTGTAGTCCAAGTTCTCATTATAAACCAGATATCCACCATAGTACATGCACCCAGCATAGGCAAAAAATGGCATTGACTGAGAAAATCCAAAAATGATTCCTCTCAGGTGAGATTTTGTTTTACTTGCCTCATGTGGACCGAGAAGTTCCTTCTCATACTCATTAATAAAAAATGATTCTTTTCTTAATCCAACAACTGTACGGATGTTTCCAATGGCCTCAATTGCTAACTTTGAGGCTTTTTGAAGGGCAGATTTTTCTACACTATCCTGTGCACTAATTATTCTGAATTGAGCCATGGTTCCAATGAGTACAAGTGGAACAAATACACATCCTAGCAGGCCAAGCCTCCATTCAAGTACCAGTGATGTTGTGATGGAAATAATGAGTGTAAATGCAGCATGAAGAATGGCTCCGATTCTACTCCCCGTGGCTCCTTGTATTGCAGATGCATCAGCTGCTAGCCTTGACAGCAGGGCTCCTACACTGTTTTCTGGTCTATCAAACCATCCCATTTCTTGTCTCAGCATGGCAGCAAAAGCAAGTTTTCTCATTCGTTGAGTTAGGTATTCACCGGCTACAGTGAACATGGAAATCTGAAGGAAAATTGCAATGCCTGCAGTTATTCCAGTTGCAAGAAATAGTCCACTGAAATATACAGACTGTTCTCTTGCTTCTTCTGTACTTAACTTAAGGGTACCAAGAACTTCTCCAAAAAGAATGGCATAAACAGGCATAGCTCCACCCATTACTATACTTCCAATCATTCCAACGACTACAAAGGGCCATTCCTTTGAATTCATTTTCATAATTCTCAAGCTGTCAACTTGTACCAGTTCTTCCTCAACAGATTCAGGCAATGCAAGGGATTCTGACTCCATTCTCACAACACTTTTCTTAGACCTTCTGCTTGTGCTTGTAGATCCTGCACGTGCAATTCCAACTGCTGAAGTTGCAGCCTCAAGAGCATCCTCGAAACCTAGTGAGTCCTCACTGTATGTACTATAGTTGCTGAGCACACTTATTTTTCTATCTACAGCAGATTTCTTCCTGAATGGACCTGTAAATGAACTAATTGAGTTTAAAGATGGTAATTCAGATTCTGTAAGGCTTTCCATCTCTCTCAAAGGTTCATAATCATCTAGTTCTTCTGGATCAGGGTCTTCTTCTTTGCTCATTTGAGTTGTTACTAAGGAGAAATACAATCCTTGCTTTAACATTAATTGATCATGAGTGCCTTCCTCCTCCACTTGACCATCCTTTATTGCAATTATTTTGTCTGCTGATCGAACTGTTGACAACCGATGGGCAACAATAATAGTAGTTCTGCCACATTTAGCACGATCAAGTGCTGCCTGAACACATGCTTCACTTGCAGTGTCCAGAGCAGAGGTTGCCTCATCCAAAAGAAGAATCTTGGGATTTCTGACAAGTGCTCTTGCAATTGCAATTCTCTGCTTTTGGCCACCTGACAATTGAGCTCCCTTGTCACCCACTAACGTTTCCATTTTCTTTGGAAGCTTTTGAATGAATCCATAGGCGTTTGCCTCTTTGCAGGCTTGTGTGATTTCTTCCTCGGTCACTCCCTCTTTCCCAAACCTAGTAGTATATGGATTCAAGCTAAGTCAACTCATCCTCTATTTTACCTTAAACCCCCTTAAATGTCATATTTACATGAGAGGTTTAAAGGTAGAGACTGGCAAGACAGTTGTGTTGAAAGTGCAGTATTGTAGGTAAAACTTTAGGATTTATTGGATAAGAATTAGCCATTTTTTGTGGTGTACAATACTGCAATTTCAGCTCAACTACCATATATAATTGGCAGGTTCAAAATAAAACAAAAATGTGCAAACTTTTTACTTGGATACAATTAGGCCTGAGGAAAATTTACTTGCTGGGCTATGTAATTGAATCCATGCATCCCTGATGTTTTCTGCTATGGAAGTACCAAAGAGGACAGGTTCTTGGCCTACTACTCCAATTTGGTCACGCAACCAGCCAAGGTTAACATTTTTAAGGTCAACTCCATCAAGAACAACCCCACCAGTAGATGGGTCATAAAACCTCTGAATCATCTGAGAAAAATCTATGTTAAAAGTGGTAAATACAATGTTATCTAAAAAGAAATAGGAGCATAACATTATTATTGAAAAATAAGTTTTTAACAAGATTTCCCTGAATAACAGTACTTTTCCCACATCCGCTTGGTCCAACCAATGCAACTGTTTTTCCAGGCTCAATTGTCAGACTCAGGCCTGAAAATTAATTATTTTTGATAAAATAAAACAAGACATTCCTGTATATACATATATAAACATATGTTGCCTATAGCCGGCTAAACGGCTGGACCGATTGGGCTGAAATTTTTTGTGGACAATCATAGGAGGTCGGGGGGTGTTATAGGCTAATAAAAATTCGATTTTTTTTTTCAAAATTTGTTTTTCAATTTTATTTTTCTACGGGCAACTCCGAGCCCTTTAGCTGGTTTTTTATAAAATTTATTGAAATCAACTTATAAAAGCCTGCTACTGAAACTGTTTAAATCGAAACATATTTCACTTGTTCGAATGTTAAAAAGACACATTTGGACAAGGTTTTTTATTCCAGACCTGCAATAACTTGTTATTTACTTTATATTCCAGATCATATTAGCAGTGACCATCAATTATCACTTAGGTGGTATGGAAACTTGTTCTAAAACCAATAAATATAAATAGTTGTAAGAGTTGTAATCACTGTTTGTCTGTCCAATCATAACTCAGGAACCCCTTGACCGATTTGCCTCAAATTTTGATTGCGTAGATACACGAAAATGTTCTATAGCCTGGTTTTGTGATTCTAAGTTGAGTGTGTCGACTTAAATGGCGAAAATTTAGTTCCGGGTAAAATCGTTCAAGAACGAATACACGGCGGGAGTAACTTTTAGTAACCATGGGCAGCGCTGGGTTCCCAAGCTAGTATACAATAAAACCAATTCTTACCTTTTAGTATTGGAACTTCGCTGCGTGATGGGTAACTAAAGTGAACATCATTTATCTGTATTTTACCAGCTAGTTGCTCAGGCCTTACCCCTGCTGTGCTGCTACTGTCAATTGGAGGGATCCTAAAATAAGTATTTTTTTAACCCATGGTTGGTGAAAATTAAAATATTTTTTTTTCAAGCATTTTTTTGAGTTTGTAATAAAATGCACAAAAAGATTGTTGGGAAGAAAAATTATGTATAAAATGAAAAAAACTAAATACTAAGGTTTGAAATTACTTTTCTTCATATTGGGTTATCTTTATAATAATAATAATAACTTCATAATTATGTTGATAAATCCAAATCGAAATAACAATTTAGTTGAATTTGTTTAATAATATTTATCACCTGTCCATGATGCTGTATATTTATCAACTGTCCATGATGCTGTATATTTATCACCTGTCCATGATGTTGTATATTTATCACCTGTCCATGATGCTGTATATTTATCACCTGTCCATGATGCTGTATATTTATCACCTGTCCATGATGCTGTATATTTATCACCTGTCCATGATGCTGTATATTTATCACCTGTCCATGATGCTGTATATTTATCACCTGTCCATGATGCTGTATATTTTTGCTGCTGATCCTTTTGCTATAGAAAATGCTTCCACATACGGACTAGCCTGCCCTAGGTTCATAGCTCCCATTAATACAGAGAAAAATACCTAAAAATAGAATTTTATTAATATACATGTACATTATTAATTAATATAGATGTATTATTGTAAAGTGTTATAAAGTACATAAGTTATCTGATCTTATTGCCATATTTTTCTGTTAGGAAATAAAAAACAATATTCAGGCTTAATTTTTCATTCTTTGTGTCTTTGCAACCTGATAATGTAGAGATTTGATATGATATGATCTAAAAGTTTAAAATATAAAGGGTTTATGTACACCATCAAGTTGCAAAGATAAATGAAATGAATGCTATAAAGTTCCTTTAACAAAAACAATCTGCATTTAAAGGGAGTGACCGGCAATGTATGGTAGTTAGTTGAACTGAGAATGTAGTATTGAGGAGAAATTTTTTGTATTTATTTTAGACATATAAAACGTTTTAATGATGTACAATTACTGAGTTTGAGCTCAAAGTCGACGTTCAGAATCATCTATTTGGATGTAACGTTTCAAGAATCGATTTTTTAAAATTATTAAATAACGACGACGAAAAATGTAAAAAAAATTCTACAGTAACATAATTAGATGTTTAGGAACATATTTTTCAATAGAAAATTGTCAATAAATTAATGTAAAATTAATTTTTTCTTTTTCATCATTATATTGAATTTCTTATTTTTCACGAATTTGTTCATAGATTTCTTCAAATTCTTCAAATGCCGTCTTTTCAACGAAAATTCCAGAAAATGTTTGGGAACAATGAAAAATTACAAAGACCAATAACTGAATAAGATTACTTATTTTCGATGATAAGTGTTAATTTTTATTTTCACAACCTGTTCCTAATTAGTTTACTGTAGAATTTTTGTAACATCTTTTGTTGTCGTTATTTAATCATTTTTAAAAAATCGATTCTTAAATCGTAACTACTCCAATGGATGATTTTGAACGTCGACTTTGCGCTGAAATTCGGTAATTATACATAATTAAACCATTTAATATATCTGAAATGAATCTTTAAAAATTTCTCCGCAATAATACATTATCAGTTCAACTACCATACATTGCCAGTCCACTCCCTTTAAGAATTTAAATACTTGGTGTTGACAGCAAGGTGAAAGTTAAGGAAAGATATTTTCTACTTACAATAAGAAGGCTTGAAGGGGTATATCTGGGATTACAGCCAGCGGGATCAAGCATACACAGTTCTCTAATACATAGTGGATAATCAACACTTCAATTAAAGGGACTGTACGCGTAATTTCATGTTAGCCTCCATGTTAAAAGATGGTAATGCTTGATTAACAACGGTACCCTTAAAAGCTTTGTCTGATCAAGCATGAGCCATATATCCATGTTTTTGTTTCTTTCAACTGTTTATTTTTATTTGAGAGTTCTCTGCGAAAGTGACTTGCGCATTTCTTGTTTATAAGAAGTAATATATTATAATTAAGCACTTTTTGAGTCTTTTTTGCACGGAGGGTCACAATTGAAACTAAACTTACAGTCTTTTTTAACTGATCTGTGGAATAAGAATACGGAATTTTGACCTGAACAGGGAAAAGAAAACCTTAACAAAAATCTAAACCCCTTCAAATCTGAGATGTTAAAATTAAACCATGATTAGTTTGATTGTTTCCATTCCTGTCATCCATGATGAGCTTGACACCGTACCAGAAGGCCAGAGCATAGCTAGAGTAGATGATAAACCACATGAGTCCTGCTCCTACACCAGTTAACATTCCTCGCATTATACCAGCTTTCCGAGCAAACACCAGCTGTAACAAGGTTCATGAAAGGGGCTGTAAAGGAAAAATGAAGGGGGGTCTAGACTGAAACCTATGCATTTTAGGAGTTAGGAGACCCATGAGATTTTTATCTGATGTTCCTGTCTCGAGAAATTTACATAATACATAAAATTCTTACTAAAATTTATGAATGTAAAATTTTGCATAAAAATAGTAGGTTTAAACGGATCATATTCAGCAAATACACAACCAATCTGAAAACGACGATATCCCAGAGGAGCCTAAGTAACTTAGGTTTGCAATAAATAATAATTTTTCGATTACAAAAGACATAATATTATTTATACGTAAGTATCACATGATCAGAACTCCCACCAATGGAAGTTTGGTATACTGGTCACGTGATACAGACGGAGTCACGTGATAATGACAGCCTATCAAAATAGAATTAGACCTCTAACTTTAATGGTTAGGGTGCGAGGGGGGCTTTAAAAAAAGTTCAAAAAGTACGTCAGACCATGCCAGTGCAAATATGCAAAAAAAATACAAAATTTAAATAACCTGATGGTTACCAGTCAGCCGTTTGGCCAGCTATAGCTGACATATGAATATAGATGAGCGAAGAGCTTTATACTATAGATATGAACTACACTTTTACCTTAGATTTATATCTTGCTACCTCTCGTTCCTCCCCTCCAAAAGCAATTACAGTTCTGGTAATCCATCAGTTTAATTTTAGATAAATAGATTTAATAGTCATTGGTCATGGCACAAAACTTGTCAATCTTTAAAAAAACTTTTTTTCTGTGAAAACAATTATTAATCAATAAATGTGGAGAGTTGTCGGGGTGTCGAGAAAAAAAATCAATATTGCCAAAAACATGGTGGCTGATTAACAGAACAACAGTTTAAAGCTAAAATTATTAACAGGATAGTAGGCGTGAAGTGTCCTAAAATTATTTAAAGGATAGGGGGAGCGTAGCGTCCTAAAAGCCTAGTAATGTATACTTTACTCTCAGAAAAATTAGAATCAATGGAAATTTGAATCCCGATAAATAAATAAAAATTAAACTATTCCTAATTGTGCCAAGGACTTCTTGAGCAATGGATCCAGCTCTGCCATAAGCAGCTGTCTCCTTCTCAGTTAGTGCTGCTTGGGCACGGGCCAGACATCCAATGGCTAAATCAAAATTTTTCAAAATTTACCAAAATGATATCTATTTATTAACAAATAATAGAAAAGGGGAATTTAAGTTGCATAGTAACAAAAAAATTTCTGGAAATTTTTTTCATTTATAAATAAAAATGTAATATACAACACATATTATTATATAAATATTGACTTAAAGGACACATGTATAACTTATCAATAATAAGAACAATCATAGCTCCCAGAATAACCAAAGTAAGCTCCCATCCGTGTATACCTTACCAATAATAAGAACAAGCATAGCCACCAGAATAACCAATGTAAGCTCCTGTCCGTGTATAACTTACCAATAATTAAAACAGGCATAGCCACCAGAATAACCAGTGTAAGCTCCCATCCATGTATAACTTACCAATAATAAGAACCTAGGCATAAACCCCAGAATAACCAATGTAAGCTCCTGTCCATATATAACTTACCAATAATTAGAACAGGCATAGCCCCCAGAATAACCAAAGTAAGCTCCTGTCCATGTATAACTTACCAATAATAAGAACAAGCATAGCCCCCAGAATAACCAATGTAAGCTCCCGTCCGTGTATAACTTACCAATAATTAGAACAGGCATAGCCCCCAGAATAACCAATGTAAGCTCCTCTCCATGTATAACTTACCAATAATTAGAACAGACATAGCCCCCAGAATAACCAAAGTAAGCTCCTGTCCATGTATAACTTACCAATAATTAGAACAGGCATAGCCCCCAGAATAACCAAAGTAAGCTCCCATCCATGTATAACTTACCAATAATTAGAACAGGCATAGCACCCAGAATAACCAATGTAAGCTCCCATCCATGTATAACTTACCAATAATTAGAACAGGCATAGCCCCCAGAATAACCAATGTAAGCTCCTGTCCATGTAATAACTTACCAATAATTAGAACAGGCATAGCCCCCAGAATAACCAAAGTAAGCTCCCATCCGTGAATAAAGGCGTTGGTAAGAGAAGCAATAAATATTGTGAGGAAGAAAATGAACATTCCAATTTTCTCACCAATTCCCTCCTATTAGAAAATACCAAATTAATATAACTCAAATAAAGAAATAATTGATGAACTCTTTCTTTAATGTTAAAAATGCAAGTCACTTCTGTGGTGAAGCATAATTAAAAATCATTGTTTTAGAATGGGAAAGCAAGAATAACTCAATCAATTTTGTGCAGACGTAGAAAGATGTTAAGGTTATGTATTTAAATTGTAGATCATGTACGCACAAAGGGCAAAGGGTCGTTTGAAATTATGTCTGCAGTTTCTTGAATAAATTAAAATCTTTTACCTGAAGTTTATTAAGGTCGTCTGTGATTTTATTTGCAAAATCCCCAGTCTGATGAACATCATACCATCCTTAAAAAATAAATTTACAAGACATTCATTCTAAAGACTACAATGAAATAATCTTCATATGCTGCCTGTTATATGTGTCACGGATTATTGCCGCTGATTATTACAGAGCGTCCCATATCATATTAGATTATCTCCAAGCTTTAACGCCAAAATAAACCCATAATACTCGAAAAACCTAACATTTTCTGCAAGAAAAAATTTATATAAGCCTTACTCAATTTTACGAAATGATATATTCTTCTTAAAATTTTTTATTAGTTAAAAAAAAAACATGATTTAGACTGACTGACGATCAAATATAATATGGGACACCCTGTATATTAACAGAAGCTGTCTTGTATTTTTACAAGCTATAAAAGTCAAAGGGATTCGCAAAAATAATTTAAATATTAAAGCAAAATTTTTGTGTTGAATGTAAAACTCATTTAGAAATAAAGATAATTATTTTTTTATACAAACATTGGGCTCTGATTTGATATCATAATATCCGCGGCAATTGATCATAATTAAGGTTAAAAACCAACATTTTGAAAATTCTTTTTATTTCTTTCAGATTTATGGAATGCAGTTTATTATTTTCATTATTTATATTAAACTATATCTAAAGATTCTAAGTCTTTTTTTACCTATATCCTGTCTGAGAATAGCCTTAAGGAACATTGTTCGAATTCTGTAGAAAACATTCTTTTTATAATGATCACAGATTTAAAAATAAATATTAGATGAAAATTTAATATTTCAAGAGATAAAATTATTTTTTAAATGAACTAATTATTCCCCTCAAAATATAAACTTGTAATCTTATATCTTTGAAACCTAAAAATGTTCCGACATCAAGTTGCAAAGATATATATATCATCAAACATTTACCGGTTCACCGACAAAGGGTCAAAAAACAGAGTCAAACAACATGTGGTCAAACGACAAAGGGTCAAACGACACTGGGTCAAACGACAAAGCGTCAAAAGCGCGACAAAAAGTAAAACGACAAAGGGTAAAACGACATAGGGTCAAAAAATGCGACAAAGGGGCAAATTTTTTTTTTCAATTTTGACATCTGTTACAGTTAGTATTTATTTATTATTATTTAGGGTTAGGTTAGGTTAAGACACTTTCTGGGCCGAGCGCTGCGGCTAGGACAGGCTAGGGGGCCGAGCGCTGCGGCCACATGGTCAATTATATCCATGTCTAACATATAAGATCCATGTACAAAATTGATACGAGGGTTGCGAGTTTCCAATGATTCAAATCAAAAAATATTTTTATCATTTTGACCTTTTGTCGTTTGACCCTTTGTCGCACTTTTTACCCTTTGTCGTTTGACCCTTTGTCGTTTGAGCCTTTGTCGTTTGACCCTGTGTCGTTTGACCTTTTGTCGGTGAATCCATTTACCGTATAGGGAGAGAATTCAATTTACAAAGGAACTGAATAGTCGACTCAAACTCGAATCTTTTAATTCCTTCATCTTTGTAACCTTTTATCCCTTCATCTTTAATAAACATTGATTATTTTAAACTTTGGCTTTGTAGCACGGTGTACATAGCATTAGATGATTAGAATTTGAGGTGAGAGATCAGATTCTTACAAAATGAAAATTTTCCTGTTTTTTAACAAAAATTCAGCAACTTTTCGGAGATATTGAGAAAAAAAGTTTACCTAGAGCAAATCATTCTGTGGAGATAAATAAAATAAAGCTTTCATTCATATATATATATTTATACGATAACTATAACTGGCCAAACGGCGGGACCAAACTGGCTGAATTTTTTAAGGGAACTCGGGGGTACACTGGGGGTATGAAAGACTCAAAAACATTTGAATTTCTTTTTGTTCCAAAAACCGATTTTTTAAAAATTCTAAGAGCAACGCCGCAGGCCCATCAGCTGGATTAAAATAAAATTTAAAAAAGCTTGTTTCCTGAAGACTTGACTCTCAGCAGCATGATTAAGGCAGGTTACAAATAAGTAACTGGAGATAAGATTCACCAGGCCTTGAAGTCAAGCATAGGAACAATTTAATAAATATTATTACAAGAAAAGTTATTTACAATTATTTATAAAACTCTTAAAAAGTATTTTAATACTAATGGATGGCTTTTGGTCAGTATTGATTATTAAAAAGCGACAAAAGAATTTCTGCTTTAAAAACAATTCTAAATACTGAAATAAATTCATTTTATTTAAATACTGAAATAGATTTATTTTATTTATATACTAAATACTGAAATAGATTTATTTTATTTATATTCTAAATACTGAAATAGATATATTTTATTTTTATTCTACTGAAATAGATATATTTTATTTTTATTCTAAATACTGAAATAGATATATTTTATTTATATTCTAAATACTGAAA